GTGATGATTGGAGGGGCGCAAGGCCCCCTGCTCCGAAGGGCGCGCACCAAGCGCTGCACCCATGCCCGGTGCCAACCGTCTGTTTCACCCTGTTGCCCCACCAGCCCCTCAATACACATGGGCTACCAGGCCCGCCATGACATGAAACAGCCACTCAGCCAATCAGCCACACACACACACACACACACACACACACACACACACACACACACACAGCCACACGCACACACAGCTCAGCCCCCACCTGCTCCAGCTTCTTGGCGTCCAGCATGCTGATGTGGCCCCCCAGCAGCCCCGCAGCCTTGGCCGCCAGCTGGCGCAGCTCGTCCTCGCTCATGTCCAGGGGGTCCCACGCGTCAAGGGCTGGGGCCGCAGGGGGTCAGGGGGTCACGGGTTCAGTGGGGGTGAGGGAGATCCTGACATCAGGCCGGGGAACGAGTGCAGGGAGAGGACACGGGGGCCGGCCCGGCGAGATGCAGGGCAGCCTGCCCGCACTCAGCTGCAACGACAACGGCGGCTTGCCTGCTGCCCTGAGCAAAGCCCGCGATATCACACACACACACACACACAACACACACATTCACACAGACACACACATACACACACACACACATTCACACACACACAAACAGACACACACACACACACACACAAACAGTAACAAACACACACTCACCCTCTCCCGTCACGACCTCGTCCTCGTCCGCCAGCCGCCCCACCGCCTCCGCCACCTCCGCCCCGCGCCGCGTCTCCTCCCCGCGCCGCCCCTCCAGCTCTGCCAGCGCCGCCGCCAGCAGCTGGCCGGCGTCCACGTCCGCCAGGGGGCCCAGGCCCTCCACCTCTGGGGGCACCTTGTCGCCAGACGCCTCAAAGGCGGCCGCCTTCTCGGCCTTGACCTGCTGCAGGGCCGCATCGGCCTGGGCCCAGGGGGGAGGGTGTGGAAGTGGGGGAGGCAGCCGTCGGGGTTTGTTGCGGTGGAGGGAGTGGGGCGGCGCGTGATCACTGGGTGGGTGGGGGGGAGGAGGGTTGCGTGCTCGGTGCAGGGGTGAGGGGCTGACAAAGGCCGAGTGTCGGGGGAGGGCGTCGCTTGGGGATCTGGCGCAGACGCGCCGGGGGCCGGCTGAGCGCAGCGCCTTTGGCTCCCCCGTGCAGGAAGCGGTGCGGGCGCCGCTCAGCTGGGCCGCTCCCTGGTTCCTGCTCTACATACGCAACCGCACAAACACACTCACAAACACACACGCAACCACGTGTGCTCACCCACCCACCCACACATTGAAGTGACACAACGTGACACGACACAACATGACACACAGCACAACACTGCGCAACACGGC